ATATATATATATATATATATATATATATAACTAGACAAACCTTATGGTTGTACGGCAGCGAAGTATCAGTGGCAACACTGATGTTGCTGTCCCTGATGATCGTGATTTCTCCAATTCGACCACAAGACCACACTTCGAAGAGCAGTCCAGTTGGCCTCCTGCAACACAGTCGGTGGAGATAATGCATACAGGCGAATGGAATGTTCACCTTGATAGCCCATCGGAAGATGAAATAAAAACGAAATATCCGTACTGAAACATGAGAAGGCACCAGAACCGGACGGTCTGTATCCATCCCTATTCAAAGAAGGCGGACAACTCCTGGTGACCCATCTGACGAAGCTTATTAGTGCTATATTGAACAAAGACTTGCCCGCGGAACGTGACTTGTCGACAGTTATAGCCCTATCTTCAAAACGGGTATGCGAACGCTGTGTGGAAACCACCGCGGCATTGAAGGTTCTCTCTGGTCTAATCCTTCGAAGGTTGACTGAACACGGAGAGACAGATCCGTGAAAACGAACCTAAGTTCCGTCCCACAAGAGGATGCATCGATTACATCTTCACCCTCCGACAAATTCTGGAACAGCGACACTACTTCCAGCAACCGACAGTGGTTGTGTTCCTCGATCTGAAGGCTGCCTTTGACTCCGTGGAGCAAATGTGTCCCCCATCAATTCTTCATCTTCTTTAGGACGCTGTACGCCAATTCCCGCGGCCGTGTGAAGGTCTACGGGAAGCTCTCTTCTGAGTTCACCACATCAAGTGGTGTCAGACGGGGCTGTCCTCTTTCATTCTTCCTGTTCTACTTCGTCATTGATACGATCACCATCAGACTCTACTGCCTGTGGGGTCGAAGTGCTCCTGGGGCGTCCGCTCACATATCAAGTACGCAGATGGCATAGCTCTTCTTGTATCTGACCCCGTGACAATGCAAACAATACTGAATAATCTAAATAATTCCGCCTCACTGTTTGGTATGCGTTTCACACCTGTAGAGTGTAAAGTGCTACTGCAAGACTGGGTGGGCTCGAACCCTAGCCTCATTCTTGCGGATGAACTGACAAATTTGTCTACCTGGGCAACTGTATCACTCCCGGTAGTCTCGCGAAAGATGATATTTCCATCCGGATTGGGAAGGCCAGAGCAGCTTTTGTGAACCTGAGTCACCTGTGGCGTAGGCGTGACATCAGCCTATCCGTCGAGAGTCCAGTTTACAATGCCGCGGTGCGATCCATATTACCATACGGATCAGAAACCTGACCGCTGCGCGCCGAGGATGTTTTCGGAGCATTGCTCGAATCTGGTGGGAACACTGGGTAAGCAATGCTGAAGTACGTCGAATGGTATTCTGGAGAAATAACTCCCTCGATAGATGAACTGACCACACTGCATAAGTTGCGCTGGCTTGGCCAGTCGATCGACTTCCTCGAAGGGCTCTTTTCGTACAACCACTTGAAGGGTTGAAGAGAGCCAGAAGCGGTCAAACGATGACTTGGCAGCGAAGTATGAAAGCCATTACCAGCAAACTCAGCTGCGCTGATCATTGCCGTCTTCCTGGACGGGGACCTCGGGACGGGCCAAATCGATGGCCCAGTCATGACCTCAATCGCGCTCCTGCATCCAGACTATTGCATTCAATATATAGCTCCCTTCTCTATTCCCTAACTTGACAGTCCACTGACAGTGCTGTATTTAGGCACCAATTCATCAGCTCCCACCTCCAATGCGCAGCTACATACCCCACCTCCTCAAATCATCGGTGAACGAAACTGTGGCAGCTCTAACCGCTGTACGACAAGTACGCGGTTCTTGCAGTTGACAATGATGATGATACTCTGCAGGATTTCTAACGACCTGCAAGTAGGATCATTTGGACCCTAGCCAGGAAGACACAAAGATCCCATAGCACTCGGTTTGCCTGTATCTCCCTTCGTTTCACATTGCCATGTCATGGTCTTTCCCTTTCGCCAGCAATCGTTCGGAATGCAAAACAACATTTGCGCACCACTTCTTACATATTGACTTACGCTCAGTTTTTGTGATCTTGGTGGAGTCCAACACCCACACCTGGATTACGCCTTCCGGATTTTTGAGCTTATGCGATAAACCGTGTGGGTGGGGAACTCGTGAGGCAAGCCGGCTAGTTCACGCGAAAATTAAGCCTGTGACCTCTAGCGCTTCTTTTTTTAAATCTTTTTCAGGCATTATGTTATCAGAACCGCGCAAAAAGGCACGTTACTCTACAAACCCGAATGGCAATCTATGGGTCAATGACACTGCTGGCTTTGGCAGACAGATGTTAGAACGTCTGGGTTGGACTCCGGGCTCAGGGCTTGGCAAGAAAGAAGACGGCATATCCAGACCATTGAAGGTATTTCCTCATTCACTTACCCATCAAACAGACCGTTCTTTCCAGCCTCAAGGACAGAAAGGCCGAGAAGGTTTAGGAAAGAAGCTAGACTATCAGTTGGGCGGGAGCAAACAACTAGACGATTACGCCCAGCTGTTGAAAGAACTGAACTCATCTTACGAATCGAAGAAGCGATCAAATTCTTCAACTAGCTTAGAAGACTTGTCCAAATCTAGTAGCAACAGACTACATTATCCCAAATTCGTGCGTGCTAAAGACGCATCGAGGTACGATGAAAAGTCATTGGCAATTATTCTTGGACTGAAACCAGCAGAATCAAAACAACATTCAACTCCAGAACCAACAGAACCTCCAAAGGATTTCGGTGTCAAGACTGTTAGCAGTTCATTATCAATCAACGATTATTTTAAGAAACGGCGGGCCGAGTTGCAGGAGTCTCGTTTGCAGACGAACAATAAATCTACTTTACACAACCCAGATCTGCAAAATGAGACAGGAACTTCCGGAAAACGGAGAAGAAGCGAGTTAGAACAAAATCCTTCACCAAAGAATCCCAGAAGCGAATGCTCTGTTTCTTGGGACGCGCACAACCGTGAATCCAGTGTGGGCACTCCATCGGGTAACTACTATTTTACAAAATTTGATTTATGTTTTAGGCGAAATAGATTCTGCGCAAATTCTCTTACCTGCTGATTGCAACGAAACGATCACCACCAGACGTACCAAAAATGTGCCGACAAAAAGTGAGTGAATGATTCACTTCTATCTTATAAATGTAGTACCGAAGAGCTGCGTGTTTCGGTCCACAAATTTGCTCGCGATCTCTGGTTACAAACACTACTGATGCCTACCATCCTGTCTTTGTGTACATATCCCTATTTTCTAAAACAGTAATTTGGATTCAAGTGTGTTATTTCTTCCTCTCTTCAAGGTAAACAGATTAACTGACGTTCAGCCTGTATCAGTGTGCACTGACATTTCTAAGAATCATTCTTCGACCTAGTAGAAAGCCTTATTTTGGCCAGAAACCAAGGTGGCCATCGATTCCACTGAGATTAGTCGTCGAGTGGAATCGACAAAATCAGTCGGTCGGGGTTCGATTCGTATCTTATTATTATACATAGACCAGAATTCTAAGGATCTCTGTGGTCGTTCTGGTCGAGTTATTCGCCGAAAATACATATGGGTCGCCAATAACCCCCATACACAAGAAGGTGGTTTGCACGTTCACAATCAGTCCTGTAGGCATATCTGGGCATACTTCTCATTCAATCTCTGGTAGATCCCTATTGCCATCTTGTACGCCATAAGAGGCTTGCTCTTAATCAGTGTTCAGGTCACTTGTCTGCACATTCCATGTGGCTGAAATGGGAGGCGGCTCGTGGTTAGAGTGCCAATTTGCTGACCGAAAGGTTCGTGGTTTGAACCCGACCTCTCTAAGCTTGGGCAACTTGGCTGCACCTGGGCCCCCGTGCTTCTTTCGAGTGGCATTTCAGCTAGGCACCGAAAGGGTGTTACAGCAGCACGAACACCTTTAGTGGGATTCCGAATTTTCCGATTGACGGAAGACTCAATGCTGTCCTCCAGGTTAATCGGTAAGGCGAAAATTGAGCTATTTGATTAATTAGAAATACTTGTTGAAAGGATGTCACCTCTCCTAATCTCCCGGATCAATGTTCACTCGTGTAAAAATTCATTACGTCAATCTCAATTCGCGTCATTCACTTTCTCGTTACGGTATTTTGTGTTTTACCGCAGACTGTCGACACTAATTCGAAACAAACACAAAGTGATAAATTTCCCTTCAAGGTGAGGAAATTGGGACAATAGTCGTGACAACCATTTAATGATTGGTCATAGTAAACTCAAAGCGATTTCCGAAATTCGCCCAATACCGAAGAGGTAAATGGGCACAAATGAGGTAGTCATGTTGATCATTGGAATCAAAGGTTCTAATTATTTGCTGTTTGCTATACAATTCACGTTGACTGAAGTCCGGTATGGATTTATCTGCCATCAGTGTTTGGACACCTGCGCCTGGTTTTGTTGTCATGTTTATCGGAGCCGGGCGTGCTGCTGCGGGTGAATCCGACGTTACCCTCAAAGGAGCGAGATCGGTGAACGAACTCACAGAGACCCGCTAACAGCCACAGCCTGTGCGTGATGACATTACAATGTGGATCGGCACCGCAATAAACCTGAGGTAGTTGTGTCATCCGTCCATTCTTTGACATTTTCTTGTAATATCGCGCAATATAATACAATCATATCCTACGGGAGATGCCCACGAGGAACCATTTCGGTTGTCATGGTTAAGCAGGATATACAAGTGCTGTAGGGACATAGTTTCATTGTTATGAATTAGAGCCAACTTTACTTACCTGTCGACACCCTGCAGCTGATGCGGTCTAGAAATTATAGTGCTTCAAGTGCGATTTTGCTCCTGGAGATGCGTCCACATTCTGAACACCCCCATAGTCGGCCTTGGATGACTAGTTTAGATTCGGTTATCGAGGTACGCTGAGTCCAGAAGTGCGCCATCCCTGCATTTATGGGTTATCACCAACTGTCTGCTTAGCGTCAGGTTTTCCCATACTAGAAAATCTAATTGGCCGTTTCTCTAACTGCCTGTCGTACTTTCGGTCGTATTTGGCCCCGTAGACCATCCATCTGCTATGTGACGATTGTCTCTCAGCTGTAACGCCTTCCAGTGCATAGCTACCGTGCTACCCGAAAGAAGCACGTTTGTTGGGTAATACGACCCAGTGTCATGCGTTTGGCTTGGCCAAACCGGCGAGGATGGTCGTGAGTCATTCCGTATATTTACTTTTTGAAGGACCTAACTATTCAAGGTCCACTGTATGCGCATACTTCTTGGCAGATTTTGAAAATAAGATCGATCGTGGACTCGGATGTGAATCTCACATCGTTCGTGTCTAATTGTCGTATAAAAGTGCAGACAATATGATAACTCGATACATCACGACTTGAGCATCCCATCTGTTAATCAAATCAAAGACCTGTGTAGAATCAACGAGTAGGACATACAGTGGTCGGTTGTATTTGCGGTGTTTACAATACAGTTGCTTCTCTTGGTTGCTGATCTGTTCGCCAACCTTGGAAGCTGGATTGCGAACGTTTCATCACCAATCGAGGTGACATCGTCAATGCACTCACAAAACTCAGCTGGCCAATCCATGTTCAGTCTGCTTTTATTAAGGTTCGATTTTTTTTGCTTCCGGACTGGGTAGGGTGATAGTGCTGGCTGATCCCGTAAATCATCTTGGCAAATTTCCTTCAGTTTCTTAATGCGCACGCTATAAAATCGAGTTAAGTAATTGGGAGACGGATAGCTTGTGACCTGGCAACGAAGTATGAAAGCACTGACTAGTAAATTCATTCGGGTTAACAAGTGTCGCCCACCTGGATGGGGACCCCGGTACTCATTTCACCAGTGGTTGGTGAAACTGGCATATGTAGCTCAATCAGTCAGCGGCGCTCGTGCACCAAAGGAGTAGCCTTCAACGCGCATCTACCTAGTGTACCGACTCTCCAAACAACAGGATTCAACAACTAACTGATTATACCACCGCCTCCCTTTCACATTTTCCGGCCACTGAAACTGAAGCGGTTGAAACCAGCATACCCTTGGTACATACCGTACACACCCTTGGTTTGTAGCTGACAAACTAAAATTAAACCATCCCGTAATAGATTCGTCCCTTGGATATTTTGAGACACATTACCGCCCCAGAGCTGAATCATCGAAAGATGTCCCTACAATATCATGGAGTGCCCTAGACTTCTATTCAGCACGCTTATCATAAAGTATTATCGGATGGTCAACACGCTATCTATACTATCTTAGCCACCCACGGTCCAAAAAACAATTTCTGTCCGCGAGAACTAGCGCACACCGGGATTCTGTCACCCCACATGACTTGGTGTCTATCCCTGGTTCATCGTGTGACGCGCACCCTTTTTCCCCCTTTGCTAATTCACCTGTTCTGGATAGCTCTCTTAATAGTTTCATTACATTATTTGTCTACCTTCGTATACGATACCGAATTGCAACCAAGTACCACACATGACTTGTATCCCTGGTTCATCGTGTGACGCGCACCCTTTTTCCCCCTTTGCTAATTCACCTGTTCTGGATAGCTCTCTTAATAGTTTCATTACATTATTTGTCTACCTTCGTATACGATACCGAATTGCAACCAAGTACCACTGAGGGAAAGGTCTGTCTCAAAAATATCGCACATTGCAGACGTCAGCGTTCAGAGATCTGCACAGGTGGCGACTCAGTCATATTTTCAAAGTCAAAAACCGTAGGCGGGCCGGAGTACAAGTTGAACAAGGTCCTGCTTGGTAAAAAAATCCACTTGTTGAGAGGCTTGAAGCAATTTTTGACTTGATTAGGAAGTGTTTCGTAACTAAATTATAACCAGCTGATTAATCTATTCGGCTGACGTGTGGAAAACGAAGCCGGTGAACCCTTACTGCAAGCGCATTACCGCATACTTTTCTAATATAGCTAGCCGTTCGCTGACCTGAACAGCCCATTACTATGCTACGCAGCGATTAATGACCCGCACTGTGTCGCCAATCGCCCGTTGGGACGATGAACCGCGACTCAATGGCAGCAGGCCGGGCGAGCCTTAAGAAGCACCGTTATTTCGCTGGCTAGACGTTCGGTTTCAGTGAGATGACCATACGGTGACTACCAGAATTACATGCGTCTGTTTACCCTGGGGGTAAGTAGCACCCATTGTGAACTTGAGGTAAACCATACATGAGGCCAGATTTATTACGCTTCCCCAACAGGTGATAACTACAGTTTATTGCCGTCATCAGCAACGAATAATACAACACTGAACAGAGTACTTTTGTTGTTTCAGTTGACTTGGCTCTCTGTGAAGATGTAACCATGTACACAGGCACCATTCGGTCGCAATAGCCCCCACACAATCTCAAACCGCTCGAGGATAGCTATCTCCCCACACCAGGCGTTCGATGCAAAAAGTCACTTATCGTGTATTATTTCTGAATTCAATGGATTCGGAAAATAAGGCAATAAACGCCTGTTATGAGTGGGCCTAATTGACCCGGGCGCTATGTGCAACAGGGTCTGTGTTCACGTTTGTACCGACCAGTGCTTCCAACTGTTCTGCGGAGGTTGGGAGCTGGTCTGTCAGACGAATGGCCGAACCATCGGGCGATACGACAAAGTCATCCTCTAGGCGCAGTCCAAGTCCGACGAATTCTTTTGGGATCTGGTATTTGTCACACAGCTGTGGCCGCATGTAAATTCCGGGCTCCAAGGGGATAACAACACCCGGTCGGAGGGGATTGGAATGCGAGACCGTAGGCGTGTCGTGCACATCCAGCCCAAGAAAGTGTCCAACGGAGTGTGGACAGATTTGTTCCGCGGCCTGAGGACAAGAAAAAACATTTCGGTGGTGGTTTGGAAATTGGAAATGAAGATATAAGTAAACTACCAGTGTGCAAAGACTGCATGATTCAAACAGCAAACTTGGTGGTAAAACAATTAAACATGGTGTGCGCGTGCGGTGATCGCGTTTTCTTTCTGTGTTACACAGTAGCGGAACGAACGGAAAATCCGCGCAACTCATGCACTTCAGTTTGTTCTCTGAGTACAGATCCATATCTTATAATCACAAGCAGCGTGGTCCAGTTTTTTCCCAATTGCCACCTAAACATAGTAGTCCTTTTCTACAAGAGAGTCCTGAACAAGAAGTATTTGCGTTTTCTTTGTACAAACAGGTCACCACAGTGAAAGTCCCGAATGTGGAAAGCGACACACTAAGGAGGGTTGAAGATCGTTGATAATCGCGAACGAGATTAGGTTGGGTGTGGAAATTCTGCCTGGATGAGAGCAACTGAGCCATCAGTAACAACTTTGCTAAGGTAACGCTCACAACAGGGCTTTTCAAATCGTCAACCCCGCGACGGTTATCACCCTCCCCCATCGAACACATGCCCATACACGATAGCGTGGGCATGCTGTATGCTCTAGCAGCTGTCGCCATTGTGGTACTGCAGCATGAAAACCGCTGTCATTTTATGGCCATGGTAACAGGTGATAACAGGGCGTTCAGATTCGCCAGTAGTTGAGATCCGGTCATTAGATTTCTCGAGGGAGTAGGTTGCCTTCGATCGACCGACCAGCAGCATCCCCAAGGCTGGCAACTGGTTTGCTTCGCCTGACACGTCATCACAAGCACATGTCGCTTCGAATTTAGGCGACTACATCCGTAGACTGTCGACACAGTTTCCGCAATCTTCCACATGAACGCCGCCAGCCACTCAATATCGTCCATCCCACACCTGTAAGCTCTACCTTTCCCCCTGATTACGGTTGGTACATTTTGGCAAGCTGGTTACGCACCATTCTCCGTCTTGTGGGTGCGCTGGCTTCAGGAATGGCGCGAACTGCGAGGTGGACAACGTATGACTTGGCAGAAAGGTATGAAACAGATTAGAGAGTTTGGATGTTGTTGGTATTGCACGCCTTCCAGAGAGGAGCCCCCGTGATCCCACCTGTGCTTGGCTGGAAACATCATCATCGACAGCATGACATCAGTGTTCAACACCGATGCTTCACTGCCGTACAACCATGATTTATTGAAAGCCTTATTGTAAGGAAAAGAGTAAAGGTGGACGGGGAAGGGACACAATTATTCCGAGGTGCCTACACTCCAGACATCATTCCAGACATTCACTCAGGCAATCTGGATAGAAACATCGCAAGAAATAGCGGCTGATCGATGTCAGTGGCGTTGGTGGTGTAGGCACCTGAGAATGCTTGATATAGGCCAGAACCAGGTCCCCTCTCTCCAATTCTTTTTCCCACCTTTTCACTCTAGGACTTTAATCATAATTAGACGAACCTTATGACTGTACGACAGTAAAGCATCAGTTTCAACACTGATGTTGCTGTCTCTGATGATGATGGAGGATACTGGGAGTGGTGAACACCGAGACCCATCTGTATATATGAATCATACCGTGGATGATGGAGGCACAAAGTATGACTCTACTGGAACACTGATGTAGGAGGAATCAGCGTTTAGTTGTGTTCAGAAATGCATCTGTATATGTTGAGACTCTCCTCGAAACAGTGCCGGTTGACTGACTGAGTAAAGTGCAGAGGCTCGCAAGAAGCAACGATGTGGATCGTTCTGAACGTCGTACGAACCGGTTGCTGCACTGATTTGTGCCAAACGGCAGAAACTGAGGGAAGCTAATCGGGTCGATCCTCAGCGGATAAAGGCGGGGTGGGCGATTCGAGACTTGAATCGCGTTCGGTCGTTGGGCTTCACCAGCAAACCCAGTGTTCTGCTCGAGCAAGTAAACAAACAACGTTTCGCGAATTCAGTGCTTCTAAAGACATGCAAAAAACTTATATCCGGTTATGTGGCAATTCTTCACAGACACAACTCATCTTTCAATTATTTTTCAAGGTGCACGTAGCTCCACAGTTTACGCAACAAGCATACCGAACTCCTAAGTGACACGTAGTTTGGAATTCGGACGAGAAACAAAAACAGACGCTAAATAAGGCCAGTTCTGCGATAAGAAAAGATATGTAACACCGAAGCACTTTTTCTCTAAGATGTTGGAAGGGCTAACGGAATGTCATTCGTCCCCAAGAGCTGTTGCGCAGAATCAGCTGCTTCCTGCCGCCTTAGGGGCTCGTTGAACGCACATTATTCCGAAACTAACCTGACCGAATGCCGTGGTGTCCTTAGAGTGAACAGTATCGCCAGGATACCTGAGCCTCGATATGAGACGGTCGAAATATCGCCGCATTTCCATGTTAAGTGATTGAGCATTAGACCCGAAGCCACCTCGAGTTCAGATTAAAACAGCTGAAACCTGAAGGCTACCTCAGATACCACATTTCAAAGGGAGTGCCACATATTCGTCTCACTGATGGGAACGAACAAGAATTGAATGATTTGAAGAATGAACAAACTTACTTCTAAGGCTTTGGTCGAAGTTATTATACGTTCAGAAACTAAGTGCCGTGCCAGCTCAGTCAGCATGATTCGATGAATATCTGCCAAATTCCGCTCTGGAGAAATAGCATTAGCACAGGTGCGTTGAACTTCTTCCAGAATGTCGTGAAGTAGGCGCTGAGTAGGAGTGTAGTGGCCTTAAAAACAAGGGTGAAATGAGTCACGTTTGCGGAGGAGACGGACAGTCGAGATATTGTGTAGCGAGGGAATAAAGTGTAAATTCTGAACCGACTGAATAGGGCAGGTGTTATATCAACCGTTGTTGCCGAAAATACGCAACCCACTATTGTTAATTGTAAATAATGGAAGATGGACGTCAGTGCTGGGACGCTGAACGTTAGGATCATCCGGTAGCATGCGTTAGTGCACATGTTATGGTAGCCATAATGTAATTCAGAAGGTATATGCACTAATAAGTTTTTACTGTGATTGACAGTAGTGAGTTGCAACACGCATAAAAATAAATGTAATACGAAACGTGGGGCATGTCAAAAGAGGAAATTATTGTTTGTGAGTCTCTTGGTGAAAGTCCAGACGGTGGGAACGTGTGTTCTCCGCAGTATAGCTGCTACACGTGTTCCATAATTGTCCATGGACTTATGGATAGTGGTTGACTTCCTGCTCCCTGCGCACACGCGAGTTTGTGTGTGTTGACCGTGTTCAGTATTCCTATGTGTAGGTACATTTACGTGTACGTGGGAGTGTCATCAAATGGGTTGTTGCTACGCTTACTAGACGGCACAGACACATGAGTCACTTTTGTGGGACGTGTCTTGTGAGTATAGAAAAAATGCGAGTCTCGTGATCTAGTGAGCGACTGAGCTGAGCACTCAAGTATTTGGGTGAAGGAGTAGCTACACATGCACTTGTACAATATGCAGCTTTCCACCCAACAGCTGCGTGACTTAGCACGCACATCTGGTTCATTCTTTAGCCACATCCATCCGGATCAACCGGACAGGATGCTCAAGTGTACTCACGTTATGGAATTGGTTGATTGATTTGGCAGATTACTGGTCAATCTGTGACACCAAGTTTCGTGATACGGAGGAAAACCGGAGTGACGGATCACTGAAGACGGAAGGCGAACAGCTGGCTGTATGAGCTTCAGCAGATAACACAGGAACCCAGGACCTCAGAGAAACTATGCTCAAGGCGACAGGAGTTTAATCAGAACATACTCATCATTCCAGTATGATGAGTTTTAGTTTCTACAAACTCGATTCTGTATGATCAATGCGTAGGCTCTCATCTACTTGACAATGCAACCGGTTGAATTTCGTTATAAACTTAACTACTTGGTATCTTGCTGTGATAGAGCGGGTACACGACACAACCGCAAAAGTCTGGATTTGAAAGGTCAATTGTAGCAGCGGAATGCTGATGAATAAATAGAATGGATTCACTACCAGGCGGATGCCGACTGGTTTTGCGTTGAGCTCAAGGCCATTAGGACCAAGAGAAACGCCAATCAAGGAGTGTTTCTGTGGTGAAGACTGCATGAACGCACGCATCTACTTTGACCCAAATAACTGGATAGGCGCGTGCTTATAAAGTACCGCAGTTTCGCAACTGATGGATCTACACGTGTTGTGTCGATTATTCTAATCCCTTCTTGGCTGACTCATTCGCTCGCTAGGCGGACTTAGCCCCCTAATGCTGTCCCCCAGGAGATCGGATGTAGTAACACCACAAAACAAAGTGGTCTTATCCTCACCTTACGCAAGCCCTTATCAAGACAGCCATAAAACAAAGGAGGCTTATCCTGCAGGCAGGCTGGTAGTAAGAACACAGTTGCACCAAGTGTTCAGCTACAATTAACACTTTCTTGGTGTCCGATAGGCACGAAATTCATCTAGTCAAACTTCCTTTACAACTGTTTTGTTGTCCCAGCAAAAAATTGCTCATCTCTACCTAATGTCATCATCATCAAAGACAGCAATATCAGTGTTGGCACCGACGCTTCACTACCTAATGTGGCGGATACACAATCTAATCAGAAACAAGCGAGACGGAGTTGCTAGTCGTCAAACGTCTAGCGGCAGTACCACGCCATTCATTCTGAATCATTGATGTTCTCATTGGTCATATCAGTCGTGTCTATTAATCCGCTGCTTCTACTGTTGTAGGGGATGTCATGTGAATACTACTACCCGGGAGCTGCGGGTTCGAACTGCTCTAGAAATTCGTGAGATTGAACTGCTGATAATTCCCGAAAGAACAAAGCGGCCATACAGTGCTTCTCGACTTTTCAACATAAACAGACTTCCGTGACAGAGTGGAATCATGATTGAACTCATGAAATGACAGGCACATTCTGGCCGAAAAATCATCGGACAAATTCTGTTGTTCAAGATTCAGATGCAGTTTTATTTCAAGTACCACGGATTTAGATCGATTCCTCCGAGGACAGTTTTCTGATAACTGAGTCCACTTTACAAGTTGACGACAGTTTTAATAAGGGTGATGAAGCTGGGTCGGAATAAACCAGAAGTGCATCAGAATTTGCAACGAAAATTGCATACAGTGGCTGACCATAGGCAGGTAGATTAACTTCGTCAATGTGGATTTTTAACTAGCGGTTTTATTCCATGAAACTATTCCTGTCCGGATTTCCAACAAGGCCCACCAGGCTCCCCCAGTACGGAACTTTTTATCGGTTCGGTTTTCCTCATGAGCTCTTTAAACTTCTTCCAAAGGCCATGAAGCTCACTATCCGTAAACTGGCGCTGACGTTGAGGAACGATGGGTGAAGATGAAGTGCTAACATTCCAGGTCCCCGCAATAAAGAGGATTCACAAGGTGCACAGTCTCTGCACCACCTGTTTGATCAACCAGACATTTTCCATAGTGGACAAAGACCCTTGTAGCCTACGACTGACATTATCAACCGTCGTCTGGTTCAGTTAACGCGCTTTTATGGTGTTTGGTAACCATTGGCTGGCTGAAGACGGCACTTTCGTCCGCGCCAATCCAGGAACCTCAAATGAGAATCGACGTGCGGGGTCCAACGTTTCGACGAGCAACCAGCTTCCTCCAGAATGATTGACGTTCGCTGGTGATTGGCGAACGTTTCGGGTTTCCATTTGGCATTGTTAAACGCTTCTCATCTACCGAATGCGTGCCACTACATATTCCCTAGGGTCACTAGTTCTCAGACAATTCCTTTTGGGCTAACCAGAAACAGGACACGTAAAGGTCTACACCCACGTCTACTGGTTCAAACGGGACAGCATCAATGGGAACCCGATAGCTGGTGTTCCCCGCATCCCAAAAACATCCCGTGCATGTGGCACTGAGTCTTGCCTGGTATCATAACACGCTTCTTAGCTCGTGGGCACTGGTCTCGTTGACCCTATCAGCAGGTTCGTGAACCTGACTGTTGAGAATGCTTACTCAGATAGACTCCAGACGATTTCAGTGACGTAAGATGCCATCGTACCTTCGGCGGTTACCAAAAGGCACAAGCCCTAAGGTAAACATGGATACATATACAAATCGAAAGAAGTGGGACCGGGAGGAAAACAGTCTTGGTATCCAATCTGGAAGAACGAGGGTTTGGCCGGAAACCGTAATCTAATGTCTCCGCTCCGAGGATATCCAAACCATCGTACGACCACGTAGTGACATGGCGCATAAGTTTCAGAGTGAGACAGCGATGTTGCTATCAAGGTGGTACAAATGAGGTGAAATGAGGTAATGGATGTGAGTGAGGTGGCGAATTTGGCTCATTTTTTGTCTTGGGTACCGAATCGTAGGTCTTTCAAGTATTGAATATATGGTGGCATTTTAAAGACATCCTATTGTGGATGAGTAAATCCAACATTTCCTTCCACAATCTGACTGTGAATCCTACAGGCTGTTCACGGGCTTCCCGGAGCAGTTAGTTTAAGTTCCAAGAGTTGCTGCAATGCATGGATAAACCTCGTTTAGGATATTAACGACTGTGTGGCAACGTTCTTTGGGTTCTTTGTTCGTGGAGCTAGGCTGTATAAATGAAATTTAGGACATCCCATGTGGTTTTCAAGACATCACTGTCCATGGGACAGTAGTAAAGGAGGTAGAACTTACCGTTGACGGGCCACGTGCGCGTGACGTCTGCTGTGTACCCTTTGTACTGACAACCAAGATCCATTAGTACGAGTTCGCGATCACGGATTGGTTGGTCGTTTTTCATATAATGAATGGTATTCGCTCGTAGTCCACCAGCAACCACTGGTGGATATCCGAGGGCAAGACCGCGAGCGCGGGATTCAAACTCGACAAGGTTATCCAAAGTGGACTCGGTAATGTCTGGATGAGAAGCAGCCATTGCTTTTACAATACACTGAGAAGTAATCAGACAAGCGTGTTGTAGAAGTCGAATTTCTGCAGGCGATTTCACGTAACGCAAACTATCCACCAAAAGGTCTGGGTTTTCGATTTTATTCTGATGCGACTCCCGTTGACGCAAGACTTTACTGAGAACGAATCTGTTGGGCACTGGTAAGGAATTTGTATCCTTGTGAGTCAGAGGAGAATACCACAGAACTGTGTTGGAATTGAGGCGGTTGAGAAATTCCTGAAAGTCACGCAAGGGGTAAACCTTGTGGATTCCAGTAGCTTCTTGTGCCCCTGCAATACCTGCTGTGGGTCCATTCCAGACCTCAGCGTGGTGAGAGCGTACTTCAACAAATAAATATTCCAGGTAGTCTGTCTGTGGCTCAGTATTGACCGTAAGAGATGGTTGCACTGATATATCCATGGCGAGGATCGCATTGGCGTCAAAGAATCCAGTAAAGTATAGAAAGTTCGAATCTTGGTGAAAACGATAGGGAACGTGATAGGCCATGTACTGTATTTCAGAACCGGGGAAGAGAACCACATGCCTAGAAGGACTATCGGACACACGAGAAGCGTGCCGTCCTAGCTCCAAAACCAGCGCCTTCCGTCGTTCGGCCAATTCATCCAGGGAGATAGACGGTGGCTCTAAGGATGATAAACTACATCTCTGTAGGCAGGAGGGTAGATGTCGCGAACAAAACGCACTGAAGCTCTGTGAAGCGAGCCTCAGCCCTCGTTGCAGCGTCATCATACGGGATGCGGTCCTGATTCATCGGTGTTCACAAAGATTGAAGCCTTTGATCTTGACAAGGATCTGAAATGGAAAATACGTGCGGTGTGGATTACATTCATTTACACACAAGGTTGACGATTGATGGAGTCGCCTACTAGTGAAAAAACCGTGCCCAAACCGGAAGGTATAGACATGTATCCTCAAAACTTGCAGCTACACCGACAACCGGTGTACGGGCTGATCCTATTTCTACAAACTCGCAAGACCATACAAGTCGCCGGGGATTATATTAGAAAACCGTTACGCCTTACACAAAGACGGAGAGCGACTGGAACACTATACCGACAACCGGTGTACGGGCTGATGCTATTTCCACAAACTCGCAAGACCATGCAAGTCGCCGGGGGTTATATTAAAAAACCGTTACACCTTACGCAAAGACGGACAGCGACTGGAACAAACGCTTAAAAACGCTGTTGCAGTGCATATTACCGAATTAAGGTTCTATTTATTATTAAAATCCTGCGGAGCCTTTTACGAGCTCCTCGTAGGTCACAAAAATGAAGAATCGAAAAGTTGTGGTAATAGAGGTATTCCGGTGTACGCATGGACCCAAATGAGTCCATTCACTTCAGCGTCATCGAATTCCCGGAAGCATACCTAAGCACTACCTTCCTTAATAATAAAGATGTTTATTCTCAACTTGGCATGGCGTTACACGCAGTGGGCGCGGGGTGCACTTTGAAGCACGGATTAACTTTGTTCATCTTTCCCGAATCGTTTGTTCTTCTTATTCTTTCGAACTTAAGGGTTGAGTTGTTGTGTCTTACTGAGCAGTAGTGAAACCCTGTATCGGTCCCTTGGCTTCCTGTCCCGCCTACTATGGTACATCCAAAAGCACGGTAGCCTTACACAGCCCTTTAAAGAGACAAAGGGGGATTATTACAACTGTAACTACAGGGTAATCACAGTGTTCCACAAGTTCATGCTAGAATCTCTGTAAGGGGGCGAGAAGCGTCGAGTCAAGGATGGTCGATTCGGATTGGCTAACATTCTGACCAATCAGGACATGCCTTTGTTTCGTCGTGCCCTGCGCGTGACATCCGTCCAAATGGTGTGATGTTCGGTGATTAGGGACGGATGGCCTTCGGACACCTCCACATTGAGGAGGCTGTTCAACCGATCGCTGCTTTGAACTCAACTGTGACGACCCACTTAGGTCTGCCGCATGTCGGCCTTCCCTGGGGCTGTGTAAATACCGATCTGGGATCTGGCAACATCCACTTCGGGGGTATGCAATGGCTGTCCAGTGTCCCATGCGACGTGATTCCTTATGAGGACTATTGTTTTTACTATGGGTTGTGTCAGAAGGCGAATAACACTAATAAGAATTAAGTTATGTATATGGACCAGCAGGGACACTGTGATCACGGATTCACTGATTCACCGGTTGATACACAGGATCGAGGCCTTTGCCCAAGTTTCCCGGGTCGCTTTTGTTCTTGTCGGTCAGTGGCTGTCATTCACCTGAAAGGCACAGGTGAAAAAAGTGTGTAGTACTGCTCTTTATATTCTCAGCGCGGGGCAGTATGCTTGCCAGCGCGAGGATTCGCCTAAATAAATGTCTAGTAGTGCTTTTAACTGGGTTCTAGAAGGAGCGTAGACAACC